TGTGGAATTAAACTCCACCAAGTCTTATGTCTCTAGAATGGAGCATTTTACTATGAGGAGGAAAATAGTATCACTTTTCATATAAAGCATATGTCCTCATCATCAGAAATAGCAAACAAACATAAGAATTCGATCAATACCTTTTGTGCAAGCAACACACAAATTTGCAGGTGCATTAGTCTAAACGATTAAAACTGCATGAAAGCACGAATTGCCAACTTAACTATGATGTAATCAGTAGCCCATCTTTATTGATCCTTAAAACGTTAACAAAATCAGAAATAGATGTATATGAAGAACATCATTAGTGATTAATACCTTGGTGGCACCTAGTAAAATCATAAAGAATAGTGAAACTTTGAAAGGGTAAATTAATACCTTGGTGGCACCAGCCTCGAGGTTGTTGAAAACCAACTCCTCAACAACCTTGTGAAATAATACAAGATAATCCCTGTGACTGAATTGAACTCCAAATAGCCTCAAGCATTCGCTTAATGCTCCCCATCTCGCTCAAAAGGTAAAAACAAATTCTTGAACATCCTCAACACACACTGCAACATAGTTTTTCAAAAAAGATTTCTTGAATGGCTGGGAAAGCATGCAAATCATGCATCCGAATGGGTGTATTTTGGTATAAAGCAAGCCTACGAAACCATAGTTAAAATGGGCAGACAAAAAGGAAGCATATACTGTCTCTCCATAAGCTGGGCTAAAAGTACCAATATGTATGTTCCAAAACAAACTTCAGCTAGAATAAATAATCAAAACATCTCCTACATACTAGTTTTCCCAATTACAAATAGAACCGCAAAATAATAAATATAAGAACATCCGTAAAAAGACACTAATGAACACAAATCGTCAACAGCCAATCAGTTCTGTAATGTTTAATATATTAGAATATTATTTTAATATATTTATGGACAAGATATTATATTGTTATGACTTATGATTATCGTATTATTAGTTTTCTTATGAAATATTAATTATCTAAATCATAATTAGAATATCATTTTAATCTATTAAATCTTAGCCATTGATTTTTATCTATGTCATGTGTCTCACATCCAAGCAAAAACTTGAGAAAAATAGAGAGAATGGAAATGGAGAGGAACCGAATCCGAAAACTTAGTACTAGAAATTAAAAGGAAGAAAAAGACGAAAAAAGGAAAAAGTAACATAAAAAGGAAGAGTATAAAACATTATTTTTTTGTTTTTACTTTTTCTTTAATCACTTCTCTCTCCTTTTTCTTTTTTATTTTACATTATATATATAATTAATGTGGGTATAATAACTATGTTAAAAGTAAATTAGACAATATTTTATAATTTTTTTAAAAATAGCACATAAATAAGAAAATATATTTTAATTATAATTCTTGGTCTAAGAGATATTTTTTGACAAATACTATAGTTTTAAAAAATAAAATTATGAAAAATAAAAATGTCATGAATAATAATAAATTATGATAATAAGTAAGAGAAATGAATAATATTATCAATATTTAGAATCTTTTAAAAATAGAAGGTAGAAAGAGGAATTTAAGAAAAAGTAATAAATTGTAGTAATGGAAGGAGAGAGATAAATAAGGTATTTGAACTACTTTTACTCATTTTATAGATCAAAAGAAAAAAAACAAATTGTAAAGAAGAAAAAGTATATTCAATAATAATAGTAAATTATGATAATAAGGAGGAGAGATAAATAAGATGTTTCACTTAAAAAAAAAAAACTATAAAAATAGAAGGTAAAACGACTAATTTAAGAAAAAATATTAAATTATAGTAATGATGAAGAAAGATAAAAGCAATAATTTGTAGTAATGGTAAGAAGAAAAATAAACATGGTAAACATATTTATCATAATCATAATATAAAGGTGAGTATTATAAATATGTTAAAAAAATATTAAATTAGATATTATTTTATAACTTCTTTTGAGTTTTTTTAACATAAAATTTTAATAAAAAAAATATTTAAAAGAAAGGGAGAAAAAGGATAATTGTGATTCTTGATCAAAGAGATATTTTATTTTTGCATATTTTACAGATCAAGAGAAAAAAAAAATTAACAAAAAAGAGAAATTTTGAAGAATAATAATTTCTAAGATCTATTTTTCTTCAAATTTTATAAATCAAAAGAAAGAAAACAATTAAGGAAAAAGAGATTTTTTGTGAATAAGAATAATTAATTATAGTAATAAAGAGGAGATATAAATAAGATTTTTATTTAAAATAGAATGTAGAAAAAGTAATATATTGTAGTAGTAATGATGAGGAGAAATGAAAAATATTTAATAGATTGTAATAATGGTGAGGAGAGAGATAAACAAGATATTATATATATATTTTATTATTATTATTATTATTTTTTTAAAAAACCAAAATAAAGAAAAAAATCAAAAATTGACAAAAAGACAAATAAGAATTCTGGCCAAAGTGAGGTATTACATCAGTCACCTTTATATTTTCCTAAATTGAGATATCAATCTTCAATTATAATTTTAAATTAATGATTGACATATAATTTATTTTATTCATATTTATGCGTAATTGCGATACAAATTCAAATTTAATCATTTATTTTTTACGTAATTTTTTATTTATTGTGCATTGATATGATGAGTTTGTTTGTTTGTTTTGTTGATTATCTAACTATGCTTATTTGACAAATTTTATCTTGTGTTGTGAGTTATTTCAATTTTCTACATTGAATAGATGAATTTCCGACGATTATTATGTATGAAAAATATTTAAAAGTTATACTTTTTTTAATAATTTTTTTTGATATTCCTATCTTGATATCCGCACTCTTTCAAACTGTAACAAACATGAGCCTCCTTAAAATTGTTGGTGTAATATACCACAAATAATATAAATTACAGTTGAAATAAAATGAACAAAAATGAATAAACTGGCTCTCTTTAAGGAGATTCAAGCTCATTGCGGCATAATCTGCACCGATCCAGCAACATCACTCTTGACTTGCCCCCTCCATGATACAACAACCCAATAACGGCGTACAACTCAAACAACTTTGGATTGAGTCCAAAGTTCCACAACAAGAACACCTTCCTTCAAAATATAACTACTCTCTTTGTATAGTGAATATAGTTGAAGACTTAGAATATTTTCTTTGTCTCAACTCTCTCTTTCACTACATTAACTCAATATACACAATATAATACTATTCATCTTTTTCACTCTATATTTTCTTGTGCATCTCTTCATTCTTCTACTTCTTCCTAACACAAAGGAAGACCACATTATTTATAGGTGATGAATTCTTCCTTCCAATAAATAGGAAGACAGTGGGTAATAAATTTGTCAAATGAATGACTCAAATGTTACATAAGTTACAAGACATAAAGATAGAATAATGAGTGAAATGAAGAGTTGGTGGTTACATAAGTTACTAAAAACTATGACCACTTTCATCCACAATTGATGAGTAAAGAGGCACAAATATAATGTCCACCAATAGACATAACATGATATATAATGTGACATATAATATATTTTTATTAATATTAAGATGTCACACCAACATATATATTATAAAATGTCACTCCTTGACATAAACGTGCACCCAACTTAGTTGGTTAGAAATTTCAGTTTCACTATATTGATTGTGTGTTCGACGGGCTAAAGGATAAATAGAGCATTCCATGTTCTTATGAGTGAGATGTATTCTTATCTTAAAGATTCTTGAGAATCTTTTAAAAAATCACCTAGTAATTCTGACACCTTTTAGATAATATACCGAAATTTTGATCACGTTGATATGTATGTTATTTTAGTTGGAGAAGTCGATAATTATAGTGGTGGAGAAAGTTGTTTTTTCAGGCTTATAAGTACTAAACTATGAAGTTCATAAAGAGTTTGAGAAGAACTAAATTTGCAAGAATAATTGAGGCAAGAGGACATTTTAAAAAATGAAACCTTAGCTTTAAATTTTGGAGTGTGCGATGGTTGAATTTGAAGGAGAGCCTTTATTTCATCTACTTTATATAAATTTATTCAGTGTTAAATTATCTTCATTCTAAATTTAGTATTTTGGAGCTACTTGGACAACATTTATGAGAAAACGAGTTTGTGTGGTAAAATTAAAGACTACATTTTACTTATAGGCGACCTGCATTAATATTAAACCAACAACTTCCATATATTCTAATACCGAACAATTTATAAACCAAATCAGTTTGTGTAGCCGCAGAATATAATATCTAACCATGCGGTTGAAAATTAAATCGAAATCGATAATTCGAATTGAAAAAATATTAGTATTATTTTATTAATAATGGGCTATTAGTGTAGCAGTTTTGATAACGGTTTTGATTTTTTTTGTTATCAGGTTATCTATTCTTAACGATTTGAGGTTTTTTCTTAATGGTTTAACTGATAACCCGATAATAAATTAAATAACTATATTTATAGTTTTATACCATTTATATATAAACTCCTTGACTTAAGGTTAGTTCCTATTTTTATTTTTGTTTGTCTCAAACTCTTGATTATTCAACAATGTAAAAGTGGTTGTTTTTGAGAAGATGTAATTTGTGAACTCATGTGCATGATTTATTTGATTTGTCACCTCCATGATTTTTTTTTTGTCAAAGCTTAACGGTTAAATGGAACCGATAACAATCAATAACCGACAAACCAAAATATTAATGGTATGATTATAAATTGACATCTCTACAAATCGATAACCAATAAATTAAACTGATAAACTTCACAATCAAATCGAACTGATTGATACACAACCTACGACAATATATGCTCTACCAAAACAACAACAACAGATTCTATATTACCCTTATGTAGAAGTGAGACTTAAAAAGGACCAACACTGCATTATTTTATTGTACTAAAGGCAGTAGTAACTGTACATTTTACAAAGGACCAACACTGCATTTTTGGATTGTACTAATGGTAGTACTAATTGTACATCAATAAATAAACACACTTTTTCTACAACTTTCGTCGTATAATCAGACAAATTGGTAACCCTAATTTCTCGCCTCCTTCCTACACTAGCACTATTCTCTCGACTCTTCCTTCTACTTGTGATCTCTTCAATGACGAATACGTCTGCTCCTTAGTATTTCCTCTTTCTCTACACACTTTCAATCTCTCTCTAAAGCCACAATTTCAATCTCTCTCTCAGGCTTTGCTGAAGATCTGTGTTTGTTTTGGACCAGCTGCGCAGGTACTTCTTCATGCTTTAACTTTCTCGCCTCCTTCGTAAAGTCTCTCAACTGTTCCTTCTACTTCTCACCTCTTCAATGGTCAATCCATCTGCTGCTTGCTGTTTTCTGTTTGTCTGCAGGGTTCAAATCGGACTATCAAGCTTTCCTCAACATTTCTGCTTGTTTCAGACGACCTACGCAGGTATTTCTTCATCGTTTAAGCCAAATTTACATGTTTGCAGTGCCAGCTCTAACGGAAAGCCTAACGTATAGTATAATCGCCCCCAAAATTCCACTGATTTTAGGCTTCAATATCAAATCAGGGCCCGCTTGATTGGATGACCACCGCTCTCCCGATCTACTGCTGAACGTCACCGCCCTTCTCCCGATCTACAGCTGAAGGTTCCCTCCTATTTTCATTTTCCTTGATGATTTACAATATGCTTCACTTCAATTGGTGAAGCTTCATTTTCTCATGTTGGTTAGTTTCAAAGATAATCTTTTCCTCTGGAAAATACTTTCCGCTTTAATTTAAATTTTTTATTTACCAGATCAATTTCTGCTATTGGATAGGGTATTAAAGTAGCTCACATCTACTAATTATACCGCTGCAGGACTTGCTGTCACATAAATATTCTCTTCATAACTTGTTGAGTTTTGATTAAAACACCTAAGATTCACTAAGACTTGGACCTTTGCCGTTTGTACATTCAGTAAAAATGCTATCTTCTTAGCTGAACAACTCATTACAAGACATTTTCACATTCTCTTCATAACTTGTTGAGTTTTGATTAAAACACCTAAGATTGACTAACACTTGGACCTTTGCCGGTTGTACATTCAGTAAAAATGCTATCTTCTTAACTGAACAACTCATTACAAGACATTTTCACGTACATTGCGAAGGTAACTAAACAGCTCTAGGGAACACTCTCCTCCGTACCTAATTCATTCTTCCTGCCATTTAACATATCTTTCATACTATAGAAACAACTTATTTACATAAACTGATTTACAATGCTGTTAAATCCATAAACTAATCTACCAACCAGGTATTCTGTTGACTTACAGAAGCTGATAACGTAACCTAATTATTATCCACCTGCGAATATTCAACTTATTAGAGACTGCGCTGCACACATAGGTAAAAGCAAAATCATTTTCCATACTTTCAACGAACCTTCTCAAACTGAACATAGACCAACTGCCTTTTTAAAAACATTTGATGATGTCTATTGTTTGGTGCAAAAATATATTATAGCAGATGAAATTATTCCATCGTTGGTACTTACTGTGTCTCAATAGTCACTATGGTTGACGGGATGGAAATGTATTACTTGCTCTGCATTCTTGCTCTTATGTTAGCTGCTTCAATTCATGCTATCAATACGTTAGACTATCTCCATGGAATTGTTCTGTTCGGTCATTCACATTATGGGAGGAATACCACCTCCAATTTCCTGCTTAAACATGCTGTCATTTGTCACATATGTTCTATCCCCGCATGTTCCGTATTTACAGCTATTATATGTCTTTGCTTCCTTTTGTCTCAATACTTGTCCAAACAAATCACTTAGCAAAAGCCACGAACATATTTGATCTACTATATTTAAACAGTCCTTTCATTTCCCCCATATGTACTTCTAACTTTTTCTATATCTAATTTGGTGAAATTCAATATTCCTGCGTACTCAATTTATTTCGCAGCAGATTGGCTGCAACTCAACGATACAAATACCAGTCGTACAGAACACCCTGCTGTGTTTGGAGCACCGTCTACATTATCACCACCTTCGAGGGACTGCTTCAACTGCTGACCCAAAACGTATATTGACACTACCCACCCCACCAGATTCAGCAACATCCCACACGTGCTCGCAGGTACGTTATATCTTCTCTCCCATGCTGTATACACTTTCGTACACCCACCAGCTGTTCCCTCATATTTTTCTTCGCCTGTAACAAAAAAAAAATTGAAACACACTCAACATTCTTATGTCACCCAATTGTACTGTTGCCTGCAGTAAGAGACTCTCTTCTACTGGTAGTCTGAACAATTTCTGCTACTTTATTTTCACTGCTGATTTACTACTTCTCTTCCTGATTTAGTTACTGCTCTTTGCAACTCACTTCTCCTTCAACTATTTAAATTATCCTTTCAGCTTCCTTCAACTCTCTGTTTTTCAACATACTCCAAATTCTGAATGCCTATTAAAAAATATTAACCGCTACAAATATCTCATGTCATATAATTAATTAGTCCTTTACATTGTTCCCTCTGTAGTTGTAACTTGCCTCATCTTCAATTGCCTGTAATTGAATATTCCTACATACTAAATCTGTTTTGCAGGCAATTGCCCGCAGCTAAAAGCGAAAAATACCACTCAGACAGAGCAGCCTGCCGGCTGTACAGGAGCCTCTTCATTGTTACGTGCTTGCAGCCATTGCTTTGACTCCTCATGCAAACTGTCTACTGAGGTTAGACCGTCCACAGGATTCGCCAGCATCCCACACGTGATCACAGGTATCTTATATGTGCTCTCCCATGATCTATACGCTTTTATACACCCACCAACTACTGTCTCCAATTTTACTTCCTTTGAAACTCCAAACTTTCGCATAGAGTCAGAAGTCTTATCTCGCCCATTTCAACTATTCACTCCATTAGAAATTCCTCTCATAATGCTACTAGGACCAATTTATATTACTTTACTTTTGCTGTTAATTTAGTGCTTCTCTTACTCATTTACTTTCCACTCTTTCCACATCACTTTGCATTCATTATCCAGGTTTAAGATTTTTTTTGTTTGTTTTGATAATTGCAGTGTTTGAGCTAGCTTGCATGGACCTCGACTAATTTTATGGGTACCTGCTACCTCTCACGAGCATAGGCATCAGATAACTCTGTCCCCCGAGGCTGTGAATCGAGGTTTAAGATTCTTGAAAAACAGAGTTTGAGTTATCTTCTGCCTTACCTATGTTAGTGTGAGTCCATTCTTTTGTGCTTATTTCAACAACATCATCAACATCAACATACCCAGTGTAATTCCATAAGTGGGGTTTGAGGAGGTAGAGTGTACGTAAACCCTTACCCCTACATCGTGGAGGTGGAGAGACTGTTTCCAAAAGACAAACTTATTTCTGCAAAAGAGTACAAATTTGTTTCTTTTTTCAAGTTTTACTGGATTTTGCTGATCATATGAACTAATTACGTACAGTTTGAAGATTTCCTTTATATTTTATTTATGATTTTTATAGAAGTAAGTCACATTGAATATGTTATGTATGTTCTAAGCATCTTGGTTCATCAACATCAACATACCCAGTGTAATTCCATAAGTGGGGTTTGAGGAGGTAGAGTGTACGTAAACCCTTACCCCTACATCGTGGAGGTGGAGAGACTGTTTCCAAAAGACAAACTTATTTCTGCAAAAGAGTACAAATTTGTTTCTTTTTTCAAGTTTTACTGGATTTTGCTGATCATATGAACTAATTACGTACAGTTTGAAGATTTCCTTTATATTTTATTTATGATTTTTATAGAAGTAAGTCACATTGAATATGTTATGTATGTTCTAAGCATCTTGGTTGTTTATATATAAGTGAGTTATATAAATTAAATTTTTTATCAAGATATACTAAAAAAGCAATTGATTCCTAATTAACGGTCAACTCAACAGGGAGTGGAGAAGACAAAGGTGCATCATATATGTGTCGAAGTTGCTCATGAAGAAGTTATACGTTTTGCATGCACCAAATTCATCTGAATATCCTTAACGCAATATGTAACTTTTGACTGCAGGGTGTTGAAGTATCAGCACATAAGTAGGAACACAAAATAGCTATCCACCATCTTCTTAAAGTCGAACACTTGCTCAGGTATACGTTACTGTTTTTCCCCTGTTGGTTCAAGCAAAATTAAGAAATTATTTCAAAAGGTTAACGAGTTAATGAAACTAATTAATCTATAGTTATTTATCTTCTGGGAGTTTTCTATTGATGATCTGCAATATCACAATAATCACCATTAATTGACTTGTATAGTCCATCGTTCAGAATATTGTGTAGATATGACTAGGTTAATGTTTTAGAAAGTTAATTCTATAAAATATTGTGAATGTGTGTGGTTGGTACTTGCTTGAAAATTTGACGGATTCCTATTTGTTGGTTGTCTTTGACATTCTTTTTTTCTACCTCCCAAAATATTTACTAACTTGACTAATCATTAGTATTATTGCAACAGCTTATTAGCTTTTAACATGAGTGCGGATAGAGCAAAAAAGTGAGGACAAACTTAGTAGTTTGATTATTTTAGAGCATTTGTATGTATCTCGCTATATGAGGTATTATGGACCTACTAAAAAAAATTATATTTGTGACAATCTGATGCTTTCTTCTCAGTTTCTATGCAGTAGTTGACAAAATGTTACTCAAACCTCATTTTGCAGGCAACAAGAGCGTTGATAATCTCTTCATATACAAGATCCAGGCAAAACCAGAGAGTTGAGAGAAAAAACACACACAGACAGATGAAGACGAAGAAGAATGAGGTGAGAATATTACAAGATGTCGAATCAAACAGTTCTAATAGAGATTCCATCACTAACGCTCCTCATAAGGTACTATTCCTAATTATTGCATTAGGATCAACTGTTGATACAAAATCATGTTACTCATAGAGGCTATATTGCTCGGGCTCTCCAAAAATGTTGTGCCACCTGTATCGGGACCTTTAAGAGTCCAAGCAACATAACATAAAGGTACCTTTGCCCCAACACTCAGTAGCTAGGAAAGTCGGGCCTGCCACTAACATTGGGCTTTCAACTTCTCAGGTGAATTATGCAGTCTCACTCGATAGTGGGGATCGATTGTTAGGAACCAGGAAGAATGAATTAGCAAAGATGATATGCTGAGCTAGACTATATCAACCTCTTTTTGGATTATTCTCTTCTAAAAAACTTGATCTCCTAATTTAAAATTGGAAAAAAATCCAAAAAATAGAACTGTATGTGCCAAATTGATATGAATTGTTGCCTTACATGTACTTCAACAACGGGATAAAATTGAAATGGTTTGTTTCCTACTGTGCTTAATTACCTTTTTGAACGATTCTGGAAATATCATGGTGCTTACAAGGTAGAATTATTACTTTTGCACTTATTGATGAATTTAATATCGTGCGCGCTATGCAGTAGTGAAGTTGTTTCTCCTTTCTATTGGCAGGTCTTTAGAGGACTCTTGCATAAGTATGGTCTTGACAGAGTCATTGATAGACCAATTATTGAGGTTGTTTTCATTCATCATCAATGTTTTATAATCTTACTTAATTCCCTTCCATATTTAGTCACCGGAATATGATCAATTTGCATCCTTCATTTTAATTCTCTTTTAGCCATCATGACACTTAGATTTTTTATTCTAGCAATATCTTGAAATCTTTTCAGCTGCTCTGTAATACATTACATTATAACTGGAGATGTAATCTCACGCACACGAAAAGAGAGCAATTTGATTATTGCACCCTTTAATGATTAGTTTGATACTTTAGTTGTTCTCCTTAGCCGTACATCTACAAGGAGTATCATTCAACTTTCACATGTAGTAATGGCAGTCAAAATATTCATTACTCAAACCTATATAATATCTAATTTCACATAAATTTTTTGCACTGTCATATTACATATTTCAACTATTTACTTTCCTTATAATTTAACACTGCAGCGCACATGTTCATTGTAAACACTAGCTTTCTGTACTCTTCTGTTTTTTATATGTCATCAGTTGAAAGAGACAGTTCACATATTTTTACAGAACACAGTCAAGTAGACCATACATTGTATTATTTGCATTGCAGCTTTAAACTTATTCTTCTTCCTAATTTTGACAAGACAGACATATAGATATCCTAAACCACAGACTTTCTCTTCCACTGTAGGTCAGCCGTTTTCTATTTGGACGAAAGATCAATGTCGTTGCTCAACTTCTTACCATGAAGATAATAAGAATGTATAGGAACATCACCAAAGTGCTAGAACAATCACATTGTACACACTCCTTCAATCAGCTGGCACCTCATCACTAATGTAAATGCTGAGGTACCAATAATGCACCAGGTATCAGAATTTACTATTTATTCCCAAAATCCCTTTCATGCTTTATTTGTTCTAAACATTTCTAAACTAAGATTACAAACTTTATTCCCACTGAAGGACTACTGCATCAGCCATATACATGTTTCCTGCTAAAGTCAAGCATACGACCAAAAAATATTATTCAATCTCTTAAAAGAACAATTCAAACAATGGTATATCAGGTTAGCACTAATGATTTACTCAAATTCTAAATGTTTTTAGATCCATTGTTCAACATATAGTGCAAATGAAGAATGAAAATTACATTCTTTTTGTTATACCAATAGAGCAATAGTAATCTCTGTGTGTTTGTCAACTTATTATTTTTCCTACAATACTAACCAGATGACACATCATTTCAGGTGTCTGTCTCTGTGTGTATATATTATATATATAATATATATATATAGAGAGAGAGAGATATACACGTGTGTATATATATATATGTGTGTGTGTGTGTGTGTGTGTGTGTGTGTATATATATATATAATTTATATATATACACAGCCATATATATATACACATATACATACACATATACATAGATACATAGATAAATAGATACATAATTTTTTTTTATCCTTATTTAGAAAGAACAATTAAACTACAACTGTCTTCATACAAATTCATGGAATTTATGTTGCCAATGAAATAATGCCAAAAAACAGACACAATCATTACAATGGGTAGTCAAATGTTATCATTTTGTCTCTTTTCTGACTACCAACTGTACTGATTTTCTGCCTTCTTTGGCAGAATTTCATTGGCAACCAAATCCCCATCAATTTGTAACAAGACACATGTAATTTTTTTGTCCTTTATAATTTCTAATTTTTGTCCTTTATAATTTCTAATAATATTTCAAAAAAATATATATATATAAAATTACATATTAGATAAGGGTAAAGAAATACCCTTTTTTTTTAATATATATATTTATATATATATATATATGTGTGTGTGTGTGTGTGCAAGCCAAATTTAATAGGCTTTCATTCAACAACAAATTTTGCTCCATTTCTCAGGTACTATTTCTTCCCTTTACATCTTTTCCCTCTTCCCATATTGAATTTTTCTTGCACCTTCTGCTTATCACCAACACAGGAATATTTTTTTTACAAAATTACAGTTATTAGTTAGCTGTCAATTACTATGGTATTACATTTGTACTCATATCGCAAATGTAAAACCCAAACTAATAGCCTCCCTTATCAGTTTCCTCTTTCATGGCTCATATTTAATGCTTTCAATACTATTCATTCTTTCATAGATATACCATGGGCCTAGGAATATGCTTTTACCTTAATGCCCAACATCATCAAAATATATCCACGACAGCTGGTTTTTTTCCCCCTTTTTTTTTTCCTCCTTTTTTAGGAAATTTTAAATAGTAGCATGAAAGTTTACTTTGTATGAATAAAGTTTTTCATATCATTGTTCCGAAATATATAGTAGCTTCACAAAACTTTCTGAGATAATTGTTGCTGTTTTTAAATTCAGCAACAGCTTCTGTCCCTGTAACAGCTTTTCGCTGAAAAAAAGAATTTCCAATTGTATCTCGCACATTATTAATGCCTGCTAACTGATTTTGTGTTTTCGCTCACCTCCACTAAAGACCCCTAACAGATTTACTCATAACTCTACTTCTGCTATGACAATACTGTTGTTTTTCCTTTCATTTGTTCTTCATTTTTTTGCTGTTTGGAACATACAAACTTTATTATCTTTCTGCACTTTATATCTCATGCAACCCAATACTAAGCGGTACAACTCTAAAGTAGTATACTTTGTTTGCTCATTTTGCCTGTAGCTGCTTCAATTGTATCCCATTATCAAACTCCCACTTCAACATTCTAGAATTGTACAGCAGTATCTCATCTGTGACAAAGAACTCATAACACATACATAGTTACCCCATGAAGCGGGGAACAAAAGTCAATAGTATGATACATGCTCTGTTATCTTTTATGAGTTTGTACTGTCTGTTCTGTCTTTGTCCTAACTTGCTCTTACCAGAGTTTGTTAGTGCTTTGTTTCTACAACAACAACTCATTTATGCAGCTACAAAGTGCAGTTCTGCGCAGTTTACTGCTTTCCTTTGATTAATTTTCCCCTTCTGTGTAAACAACTGAAACATTGTTGCATGCCCCTCATTTTATCAGCCCCCTTCATAAAAAATGAACTAACCAAGTACTTTGAATTAACATTCATGTTATCCTACAGATACTACTATTTGGTTAACTATATTTCCTACAAACATGGTACTATGACTTAACATTGACCAAATAGAACTAGCGACACGGGATTGGATTTGCAAAGTTCAAATTGTCGAAATAAGCCACCCCAGAGAAAGCCTTGACAAAAAATGTACATTCCAAAATTTGATTTTGGAAGATGAAGAGGTCAGATCATTATTATATTTGTTGTTATCACTATTGTTCTTTTTGTCTCAACGTACTTAATCTCAACTTTCTATAACTCTTACTTTCAGGAATGCCAAATTAAGGCTGTTATGTACACTGATGAGATTGAGCAGTATGCAGATAAGCTTAAACTCCTCCATACCTACCTCATCTCTACTGCAAAAGTGAAAGTCTCTCCCACTTCATACGGCAAGCCAATACATAAACTTTACTGGATTCTTGACAAAGAAACAGTAATTGAACAAATCAAACCATCTCACGCAGTTGAAAAACCCCTTTCGCTGCCAACAAAGCTCAATATCACACCCTTTGACCGTATTCCTCATCTAATGGTTGATTCTGCTGCTGAAATAGGTATATCTATCGTTCTACCTATTATCAGCCTGAAATATACATCTGCCCTGCTGCACAAGACTTGCAACAATTCATTATGTGTTATATGCGCAGATATACTGGCAATCGTTCTTCGTTGTGGTCCTCAAAAAACCGCCGGTCGCAGTCATCATAGGTGTCGAGAAATTACCCTTTGTGACAATCAGTAAGTGTAGCATTTGCCATTCTGTTTTGCCCTTTTCTGCAAATGTTCAATCAGTAACCACTTTTGCCCTTACTGTGTTCACATCATCAATTATCCTCTAACCATTATCTTAGTACTTACACGTCTGTCATTATGCTCTCACACTCTCAGGAAAAATCAGTTTCTCTTCACTCTATGGGAGGATTTTGGAGAAATAGAAGGACATGAAATTGCGTCTCAAATAGCAACAGCAGCAGATCTGCTTGTAATCCTCGGAATGAGTATAGGAATCTCTACTTATCACGGTACATATACCGTCAACTTCTTACCACCGTTATTTAATATAATAAGAAAACACTATACAGCTTATGTGTTATACAGGGTTGTCACTGCAGACTAGGTACAACTCCACAGTACGTGTGAATCCAAATTACCCACAGGCAGTCGCACTCATGAACTGGTACTAACATTTCATATTTATTCTATAGCTTCAAATTACATCTACAGAACCTACTAAACACATTATCTGTTCTAACAATAGGGCCAAAGAAAACAAAACTAGCGCTCTTAAGTTGTCCATCAGAGAAAACCTCAACTAGCTCATCTATAGCTCCCATGATAGTCAGTACTGGTGCGCAACAGCTTCTCTCTATCGCAGAAATCTCATTAGCACCTTCTGTAAGTCATAGTTGAACCTGCTCATTTGAGGCTATCCTTATTCCGTTTCTCATTCTATGGCTTTGCCTACATAATCAAAACTTCCCACAGATGGGAGTCCTCTCTGTTGACGCACAGATGGCCATATTAGATAAATTTCAAGACTTTTGTGTGCTTGAATGCTCAGGATGCAAACAGAAAAAGCATACAAAGGATAGAAAGGATTTTGATTGTCCAAAATGCAAGCGCACAACAGCCTTAGTGCCTCGGTAATATACTTCTCCCCTGTACATTACCCTTTCTGCAGAGTATACCATATAGTGTACACATATTTGAAACTTCCCTTCATTTCAGCTGTAGCTTCCAAATTGATCTTCTTGACAATACTGGTACAACCACAACATCTATCTCTGTTGAATTAGGAGAAAAATTGATGTCCATGACAGCAGAAGACATATTTGAAATAACTTGCACTAAGGTTATCTCTCATTCCCCCGGGCTACTTATACCCACTTATTCTCATACTACCACATATCTTTGGCACAAATACTTTACCACATATGCTTTGTTCTAAACTGTTTGGTCTAACTTCTTACATTTACAGCGACAATCATTGTCTCTTAATCATGTCCATGAGATGTTGTCGGACAGATTATTCGAAATTCAGCTAAGGAAGTCATCTTGGGCCAGCTCAAATACCACACATACAACTTTGTCCGTTCTTTCCTACATAGAAAAACAGCATGCTCCACACACCACCACTGATAGGACTTCTAAAAAAATAAAACCTCTGGAAATAAGTGAGGTAGAAGTCATGGCAACAACTACTGCAGCTGGTTCTTCAAATGCACCGCCAAAGTTTGAACCACCCACACCAGCCAAAAAAGTCTAAAAGGTTAGTCTACACCTCACTTTCACAGCAAACTATACCTCACGATGTTTGCCAATTCTACATATTTACAGTTATTTAAAACTTGCCTGCTACAACCCTCTACTTTTACCTGTACTTTACTTTCTTTATACACATATGCATATGGTTCCTGTAAAACCTTGTAAGTGTGATACTGCTGTTATACCACTGCTTTCACACTTGCTCTTATCTCCTTTCAAATTACACATTTACCTTCTCTTTATGTCTGACATAACATTGCAAGGTCTCACATTCATTCACGCCTACAATATTTCTATCCATGCTCAAATCAAATGGTTAACATTTTCTTTGTAATTCATCATCTCCTTTTGACTGTTCAATTAGCTTTCAGCAACTTCATTACTTCACAGTTAACAACAGCTCTGTTGCACAGTGACAGGAATTGTATACTCCTTCCACTTTGTACTCCTTGGAACAGCTAAACTCACATCCAATCAAACTACCTTTCAACACTACAAAACATGGGCCCACTGACAGAAATCCTTATGTCTCGTGTGTGTTTATGATTGCATAAAATTCTAGCCTCCTTTTGCTGATTCATTAATGTTTATAACTTCACCCTCCAATATAAGCCTACTTACATGGTTTCCTCCATAACTTGCACACATACATTCGTCTACATTTTTCTTATTCTACTTTCATATGATGTCATACACTATAATACAGAGTTATCAACACCAAAAAAGCTGAACAAGGTTTCTGTCTACTGCCTAACCTCAGACAGATTCAAAAGCAAATCTATCGCTTTGATGCTGATTCCATGCATTTCTTTCTATTTCAGCACTATATTAAATTATCTCTTCCCATATTTGCACTTTCTCACATACTTTCAAACGTCTAATTGCAGGAACTCCGTCACACCATTTTGTGGCTTTTGCTTATGATAGGGACAATCTAATGACTGACTCTCCCTGTGCTCTACTTTCTTTCATGACAAAGATTACCTATGGCCAAGCAAACTGTAGTGTTCTCTAAATATGATGCTGCAACATGTAGTATATTATTTTGCTTATATTCCATTAGTTAGTATGTGCGAATCGTTCAACTCGACATCATACTGATGTCTATTGTACATATTCAAAATATTTCTAATGTTAATATAATATATGCTATTATCTATGTTCTACAAACAGCTTGGCCCTTCATTCATTAATATTACAATACTTTTACAGGCATCATATTTTGACTATTGGGCCCGTGCTTGCCACGGGCCTCCCTTCGCTAGTATTTCTATAAATAAGGTTTAAGTCAGATATAACTTACATAAACCTTACTTTTTATTTTATTAAGAAGAAAAAATTATTTACAAAAAGGCTTCCAACTAGATGATGCATATCCAATAACATAAGGATAACTATATATTCTTACCATCCTTATCTAAAAATTTTAAAAAAATATCCTCCAATTATCTTTACACGACTCCTTAAAATTTTCAAACAATACAAAAAATTTACAACTCGTAAATGCGTTGACCTTGTTTTGACCCTGCTCTCCACCTCTGTCATACTTGTTTCATTTTATGTGATACTTCTCAGATTTCGATATTCAAATAAATCTATTTTTGATTGTAAATTTTTCATAGATTTTTTAAACATTTTGAATTATCAATTATTATGACTTATAATATTTTTTACATAGTTTACAAATATATAAATTTCATTTCAAAAAAATTGAAGATTTCATGTGCAAATTTCTGATCAAACTTAAACTATTTGAATCTCGAAAAATGAAAAATGTCACATAAATTAGGACTGAGGGGATAATTTTTTTTATTTCTCACTCGATATCTGGTGTCTGAAATCCATATTAGAATCTTGATTACATCCGAATCACAAAATTTTCTTCATATCTAAGACATAAATTAGAAATCTCTTCTAACTAAGGGTGCACCGATAAAGAGTTAAAACAGCAACAACCGCCTTTTAAGACTACTTCTCTAAGAAGGATCTTCAGTATAAATTATTCCTATGTACTTGTCAACAAATCCTCACCGTTTATCTCTACATTCAATGACGTGTAAGCATCTCATTCACTCCAAACCACGTGTCAGGTGATTATAGTAATATCCACTGAAGACGTCTAAGAACGTCGAACGTGTTAGATAAGTTACTGACCTGCTGACATGGAACCGACCAACACTCCCTCGTCATCCAAACTACCTTTTCTCTCTCCTTCAACCATTCCTGTACTGCCACGTGTCCTTTTCAAACGGCTAGTTTTCTTTCCCTCTTCATTAGATTCAAAAACACAAACCCCAAGAGATATTTTAATGGGAGAATTCGAGTGGCTTCTAGGCAAGATTCAATTTAAGTATTTATTTATTTTGAAAAAAGGAACATGTGTATATAAGGAAGTTGGTGTACAAGTTGAAAGAAAGTAGAAAGGCGGTTTCATTTGTTCAGAAGAATATACGTTATTTCAATCGGGCGGCGCAAATTAGGGCTTCATTTCAAGGTATATTGATTCGCAATTGCTAAATTTAATTACTATCTTTCAATTAGAGTTTTGTTGGATTTGGATAATTCTGATTGGTTTTGTTGTAAAAAATAATAATCAGGTTTTGCGAATTTGATTTTGCTTAAGAGGAAGGGAAATGGCATTGGGGAAAAAATGTGGAAGTTACGGGTCGGGGCTAGTGAGAAGTAGTTCGTTTGGGAGGAAGAGAGTTATACTAGATGTTGATTTCAGTCCTACAATACATATGAAGAAAGTGTGCAGTCATAATTCGCTTTTTAATTATGACAAGTCTCCAATTGAAGATTTGCCTCAAGATATTTTGGTAAGTAATTCTATTAGAGTGTATTGTAATTGTTGATGTTAATGGTGGTGTTTGTGGGAAGATGCTTATTTTGCTCTGTTCACTGTTATAATTTTACCTAATTAATTTGGCAGATTAGGATAGTGTGTGGAGTTGATCATGATGATTTGAAGAGGCTGTTTCGTGTATCAAGGGCAATTCGAGAGGCGGTAAGTTGGGGTTTTTTTTAAAACGAAGCACAAAACAGAAAATGAATTGAATTTAATACAATTACATTTGTAGTTATAATGGTTCTTTCGGTTGAATGAACAGGCTGTGATTGCAAAAAGGTTGCATTTTGAGTATGCAACACCAAGAAAGACGGTTGGTTTCAAGAATGCAATCGAGGATTTGGGTGAATTTATTAATGTTGAAGCACCAAATGCTCCGAGGCAATTGAAAGTTCGAAAGTTGAAGTTAAGCAAGAAGAAAATGGATGATATTTCTGTTGCCTTGTTTGCATCAGAAGACGATGATGATGATAATTGGCTGCAAAGAGAGTCATCATATATGCCGATGAATGCTGAGTTTTAGAGGTATTGTTGTTGTAGAAATCATAGGCTAAAAGTCTCTAGGAGAAATATTTGTTAAGTCTTATTTCTTCAATCCTTTCATTGAAGATGATTTTTTGGGGATTCTGTTTGAAGGCCTTTTTTTTGGCGCTTCTAATGTCATAAGAATTAGGTTGTACATAGCAATAGTATCATTTAGTAAATTAAATGAGAATCGTCTTTCCACATTCAATTTAAACTTGTAAGTTGCTTTATAGTTTTGTGATGTTATGTGTATTTGGGAAATTATGGGGAAGAATGTGTTCAATTAATCAAGTGTATAGTGATGGGTTTTTATTAATATTAGAGACGGTGAGTATTTATCTGAAATCATAAAAACGTTAAATACTTTAGTAATGATTGGATTATGAATACAAATCGATCTTTTTTTTTTATAAAGGGGGTGTTAGCAACTCACAAAGATACTTTGCCATAAATTTGTTGTATTGACATAAATTTGAGTTACTCTTGCACTATTGTAACATAATGCATCTACAAAAATAAGTTAGCACCCCAGAACACTTAAATAATCTCATATTTTAAAGGAAGAAATTAAAGAGAATTTAACTAGAAGAAGACATTTCATAATTTTAAATGAAAATCCAAGAAACTGGAATGTTTGAGGAAATAATTTTCTTTTTAAAATGTAGCTATTACAGATTTTAATGAGAGGAAATAATTTTCTTTTTAAAAGGTACCTTGACTAGAAAATTAAATAAGGTTATATCCAATTATGGAGAATCATTGTTTTGAAGATAACAATGAAGATTGACTAGAAAGGTTTAACTGTCATTGTACTTTGATATTCTATTTTATCAGCAACATTAGTTTTTTTTTTTTTTAATTTTATTTCGATGATCACTTTTTTCTTTTAAATTTTTTTTTTATTGCGATGATCACTTTTTTTTTAGTGTGCACGTGTTTCGATTATCACATTATTTGTTGTTATTATTGTTCTTTTCTTTATATGTTGCGTTTTATTCTTATTTCACATTATTTCGTTGTACTTATGCATTTTCTTTTCCTACTTGTTTGAATGCTTTATTTTAAGTTGAGGGTCTATTAGAAATAATGTTTCTATCTCTACAAGGTATTGACACTACAAAAAAATTCCAAATTACCAACATATTTTACTAACAACTTAAGTTGGTTAGTATTCTACTAACAAATTACCAATATATTTCTAACCTTTGGCTTCCGGGCTCAGGGACTACAGTCAGCTGCTTCCCCTGTAGCCGTCAGCTCGTTCTTTGACAGATCCGATCGGGTGTTCATAATCTGGAGTAAAAGGATTCGAACCTTTGCATGCCGGTGCCAAAAAACCGATGCCTTACCACTTGGCTATACTCCATAGGCCTGTTTTGGA